TATTTGTTTATAATATATCTAGTTGTTCTAACTCAAATACCAATCTATTGTTTTTCGATTTGGCTCGATTTAGATTTTATCAAAAAAATATTTAAATCCAATCTAAATTAATTCATATATTTTTTATTAATTTTAACATCAAATTCTATCGAAATCAATCAAACTGACCTAAACAAATCCTCTTATCTAAAATATTTCTTTTGATATGTGTAAAAGCAGACACTTATAAATAACATTTAAAGAAAAATGTAATGAGGGTTCTAAAAACACTAATTAAGTAATTAAACTGATAAGTTAAATATTATTTAAGAAATTAAAAAATATGTTTTTTTTTCTAAAGTATGTATATTAAATGCATTGAAAATTAAAATAATCAATTTTTTAAAATAATATTGTGTATATTTAATGAACCGAAACTAACCTATCTTTTTTATTTAAAATTCTTAACTAATGATCCATATTGGTTAGCATGAAAAAAAAAATTCTAAACATGTAATTATTGATCGCATTAGTTGTTTTTCATACAACACTCTAAAATATTCTTATATAAAATAGTTATATATTTTATGAATATTAAGAACAGTAGGGTTGAATCCTTGACTTCTCATTTGTTCACTTGTAAGAGTGAATTTTAGTTACTAGATTAGAATTTTTCTCTAAAAACGATATATATACTTTTTTGTTTAACAAAATCAAATTAGAGATCTCATAACAATGAACATGTAAATATTTTTATCCATAACAACTACCTTAAAATCACACATGTGATTTGTTGATATACAACATTTTACAAAAATAAATAATTTTTTTTAACAAAATAAGCTCCAACAACTGAAATCTCAAGCATGCAAACTCTTATTTAATAATGACATTCCTTTTTATGATTAATAAGTACTATTTACACTCACAAAAATATTGCCATAGTAAGTAACTATCTGTTTCAATTTTCATACAACTTATATTTTCTTTTAATACACTCACAAAAATTGCAACAAATTAATAAAAATAGTATGCAGTTATAATAACAACAGCTAATATAAATTAAAGCAAATGACAAAAAAAGCAATTTCATTAATTTTTATTTAATTTTAATTTCTATTTATTGAATATAATATTTTGAACGCACCTGCAACAGTAATCATGAAAGAGAAAAAGCCATAGAGACGTTATAGCATGCTATGTGGCAACAGAACCATTTTTTCAAACTTTGAAAATTCAAAATCAAATCAAATTCATCTCAAACAAAAACATAAACATAGCGTGTGTGTCTTCATCGTCAACACAACACAATCCTATGTTATGTTCTTTTTTCGTTGAGTAGTCACAAACAACCCCATTTCACTTTTTCGAATTCAAAACTTTTCAAACCTGTTTTTTTCCTCAAAGATGGAAACTTTATCTCTAAACAGTGAAGATTCTCACAAGAAAAAAGAAGGGTCTCGTTGCTGTGCCACTGATTCAAGTGCTGAGTCTAGAAAAACAAGTTTCAGTGGATCTAGTTCTACTTCTACTTCTACCTCTTCACTGTCTACTTCTACTTCTACTTCAGATGAAGCTAAAGCGAAAGGGTTTTCTTCTCCTCCTACTCCTCTTGGCTGGCCTATTCTCAAAGCTACACTTTCCAATTCAAAGCGTTTGAGTTCTGATGAAAAACATAAACCCAACTTGGAGTTGGATCACAGCAAATTTACCTCTATTGATTTAAAAATCCCAGGTTAGTTAAGTTATTTTGGAGTCTATAATCTGATTTTAAGTCATTAATTATAATATCTATTAAGTGCTAATTCTTAGATTTTTTATTTTTTATTTTTTATAAATTGAAACAGATGTTGATATGATGAAGGAGAGGTTTGCAAAGTTGTTGCTTGGTGAAGATATGTCAGGTTCAGGAAAAGGGGTTTGCACTGCTTTGGCAATCTCTAATGCCATTACTAATCTTTGTGGTATGTTTACTCACATAGATCCATGTTGTAAAAGTGATTCTAGACCTGTAAAGTTAATTTTAACATGTTTTGGTGATATATTTTAGCTTGAATTTGTAATTTTTTACTCACAAGTCCAAACAAGTGTTTTAGACTCAGATTATTAAAATTTTGAACAAACACTTGCTGAATTGTATGATTATGTAGCTACTGCATTTGGGCAACTATGGAGACTAGAACCACTACCTAGTGAGAAGAAAGAAATGTGGCAGAGAGAGATGGAATGGCTTGTTAGCATTAGTGATCACATTGTTGAATTAATACCTTCTTGGCAAACATTTCCGGATGGAAAGAAACTCGAGGTAAATTGGGTCGAGTATTAACTTTTAAGTCCAATGCTGAAATTTCGGACTTCAATCACTTCATACATGTAATATATGAAGTCTGATGTTTCTAATATGGTTGATTTTGCAGGTAATGACTTGCAGGCCTAGGACAGATATTTGTATCAATCTTCCTGCCCTTCGCAAACTCGATAACATGTTACTCGTGAGTATCGATTTTTGTTCTTTCATGGCACGTTAGTAGTTGTAATTGCCAGAGACGTCATTGAGTGATTGCAGTTTTGAATTAACTTCCAATTTTGTTTGAACACAGGAAATATTAGAGAGCTTCACAGCTACAGAATTTTGGTATGTCGATCAAGGAATTGTAGCTGCTGATGCAGATGGTTCGGCCTCTTTTCGCAAGTCAATTCAGCGGCAAGAAGAGAAGTGGTGGCTCCCGGTACCCCGTGTCCCCCCTGCAGGTCTCAGTGAGAACTCAAGAAAGAAGTTGAATCACTCTAGAGAAAGTGCTAGTCAAATTCTCAAAGCAGCCATGTCTATCAACAGCATTGCTTTGGCCGAAATGGAAGTTCCCGAGTCATATTTGGAAACCCTCCCTAAGGTTTACAAGTTAATCCTCTGTCGATTTATGACATTGTTTTGAACATTAGTTTGAGTTTTATTGAATATGTCTATACTTGCAGAACGGAAGAGCTTGCCTCGGAGATTTTATTTACCGATACATCACATCAGATCAATTCTCTTCAGAGTGCTTACTTGATTGCTTAGACATATCTTCTGAACATATTGCACTTGAGATTGCCAACCGCGTTGAAGCTGCGTTTTATGTATGGCGTCGAAGAGCTCACCACAAATCAACGCCTATTCCAAATCGTTCGACTACAAAGTCATCATGGGGGATGGTCAAGGACTTCATGCTTGATGGAGACAAGAGAGAATTGCTAGCTAATAGAGCTGAAAACATTCTAAATTCCTTGAAGCATCGGTTCCCGGGATTAACACAAACAACCTTGGATACCACCAAGATCCAATGCAACAAGGTACCATACAAACAAATTATGTATCTTATTATCATTATTTATTCATACATGATCAATTTCATGGCCTTTTCATTCAAACAGGATGTTGGAAAATCTATTCTAGAAAGCTACTCTAGAGTTTTGGAGAGCATGGCTTTTAACATTGTATCACGCATCGATGATTTGCTATACGTCGATGACTTGACAAAACATTCAGATACATTTGCATTGGTTCCTCATCAGAAGATTTCACATCCATTTTCGGTGTCTGTCTCCGGCACTCCACACAAAGCAGCATTTGGCACGCCTAAATTTTCACCCATGCCATTGATTAGTCCTTCAAAAGGGGAGAGAACTCCTTTCCTCCACAACAACAACAACAACAACAACAATGTCAACAGCATCAAACCTCAACATCGCGGATTTGGGGTGAGAAGAGTGTTGTCAAATTATCTCGGTGTTGAAACCAAAACAAAGACATGTACGAATTCAACCGAGGTTAACTGTTCAAACTCATGTAGCAAGAAAACAGAACAACCTCATAAGGAAACATGCACCTTGAAAAACCAGACAAAATGAAGCACAGCACTGGCAGTTTATAAATTTGGTTGAACACAAAGTCTTGTAACATTTATTAATTTTTATTCCCCTTCATTTGTACCATTAACAAAATAGTAGCATTTTGTTTGGTAGTAGTTGAGAATTCAAATTCATAGTTTGAAATCATGTTGAAATAGTTACTAGTGAAATCTGTAGCAGTTGGTATTTATATATTTGAATTCAAATATGTTTGAAATCAAGTTCAAATGATATTTCAGCAATGAATTCAATGAGTGTGTAAATTTTTTTTAAATTATCAATCTGCTAAATCATCAAAGTCATTTTAAATTATTAATGTAATATGGTAGGATGCATGTCGTTTGTTGAATGACTAGTATTATTTTTGAAATAAAGAAATTTGGAGCATTATAATGTGTTATAAGTTTGAAACTTTTTGAAAAATTGATGTGTAATTTCGGTCCCACTCTGATTTTCCATTGTAATTTTCAAAATTTCCAAACACACACCTAAGAGCATCTTTAGTGGGAGTAAACTAAATGGGTAAACTAAAATACTTTTTGTGGGACCAAAGTGATTTGTAGGATTTTAAAAATTTATAGTTGATTTGAGTAGTTTTTACTTTAATGGTGGTTGTCTATAAGAAACCAAAACTTGACCCCACATGGTATTAAATGGTTAATAAAAATCTATTATTTATGTTAAATAATTAATAAAAATTTATTATTTATGTTAAATAATGAGTTAGAGTACGTTGCTTGTGTAGAGCACGTAAACTAGTTTTAGAGCATTCCATATGCCATGTCAGCACTACTATAATGCAAATTCCTTATTAGTAAACAGCAAGGTTTTTCAGAAACTTTCATAAAACAAACTGCAGCGTAAGTCTTTTCAGAATGAAAGAGAAAAACGAAAAATTTGACCAAAATCAGTAAAAGAAAGGGGCATTCCGAGAATTGAACTCGGGACCTCTCGCACCCTAAGCGAGAATCATACCACTAGACCAAATGCCCTTGGGTGTTGGTATCTTGAAAACTCGTATTTCATGACTAAATTTGAAAACATAAAACATTTATGTTAATTGAAGAAAAGCTTCAACAACCCGTTATTTATCAGTGAGAAACAAAACTAGAAACTAAAATCAGAGACAAAAAATGGCAATTTCATCTTCATTCACGAGCGTCCACATCACCGCGTTAGACGCAATAACAAACGTAAACTCTCTCTTCACTCTCGGCGTCTTCATTGGCTTATCCTTCAACCCTAACGACCCTTCGAACAACCTAAACTCAGATCCCAACTGCATCCCAACCACCGCCATCGCCGAAAACCTCGTCGCCTTCCATGTCTACTCTTTCAGCTCCTTCCTCTTCTCCAGCCTCGTCGCTCTTGCACTCAAACAAGCTATCCGTCTCTCCCGCAGTTCTTCCTCCCCCGCTGTAGCTCATATCAACAGATCTGCTCTTCGGGTTGGCATGCTTGTTTCCGGTATCGGATCTGTTTCTGGTTGCGCTTTTCTTATGCTTGCGCTGGCGAATGTTGTGCAGATTAAGCTTGGGACGCTTGCTTGTGGGAGTCAGCATGCTTTAGCAGCGGTTGTTCCGCTTTTTATTTTTGTTCCTGGTGCGCTTCTGGTTTATGTTACTGTTGTTGTGTATGCTTTTACTCGTTAGGTGAAATGAAATGAAATCATTGTTTAATTCTCTGTTTTATTTTATTTGCATTACAACTATATCGTTTCCGAGTTAGTAGTTTATGTATGAATTAGGATATTCAAAGAGACATATCCAACCTTATTCAATATAGCCGAAGACTAGAACAAGAGAAAACTATCTTTCATAGTCAACTTGTCGAGCCAACCCACCGCAGTTGTTCTTGAATGAACACATCAATCCATCGCCACAACTAGTGTTTAGGTAGTCATAAAAAAGCTCAAAAAAGGAGTGAGTATCAATCATGGACTATAAAGGAAGGGGATGAGATTTCAACTTTGCTCCATGTTATGATGTGAGGGGATCTTCCTGAAACAGGAAAGAAAATGAGAGAGTAGTGACCAAAAAAGAGGAGAAGAAACTCACAGAAAATTCACTTATCACATGTAATAGCAACGTTTAAAGGAGGCTGCTTAAAATTTGTAAATACATTTTTCGAAAGACAAGTTATTATGTGGATTATGTTAGATCTCATCAATACCGAATGTATCTCTACTCATAAAGAAATTAAGAAGTTCATATCCTTAGAATCCATATCCAAATACATTATGAGAATGAAAGCGGAAGTGTAGCTGAGTTTGCCATTAGAATCATTGAAAGTTTGTCATCTTCGGATTTGTAGAGTATTTAGGATTTTTTTTATATTCTTTTCTGATGGGAATGAAGAGAAAATACTTGAAAACTGTATTGGTCTTTTTTCTATAAAATAGGGACTATAACCCATATAAATAACTCCCTTAGGATTACTATTGTATATTCTGGGATTTTTTATAAGGTCAGATGGTGACTTCTAAAGCTCATCCCGAGTGGGGCCGGCCTGCGCATCGACCATATTTAAGTGGTCATAACATGTGAACATTACAGGTTAATCTTTGATTTATGAGAAGTCGGACGAAGGCATGTCCGATACAAGAGATCGGCTGAATAAAAACCATTACAGGTTAATGGCTAAAATACGTTACTAATGATTAATGAACTCTGTTACAAATAATTAATGGACAGTTACGTTCATTATGGCCATGTCTGGCTATCAAGCGCACTAATGGTGGCTATTGAGGATCCAGAGAAACATAAGGGTCATGCAGTATAAAAGCAGACCTTCAGCAACATAAAAAAGGGGATGACAATACATGTGAATGAATATCACAGTAAGAAGTGAAAACTAGGAAAACGTTGGATCGATCAACCATGGCGATCATCCCTGTCAAACATTATTTACATTCATATCTCTAATTACATATGTACTGGCACATATTGTGTCTCGTCTCTTCAAAACATTTGTGGTCTTTCTTGATTAGCTTCAAAGTGATCATCCAATGATGTTTATACAAGAACAACTATTTAGTTTTTAAATATTCTAATTTGACCCTTCATCAAAGTAGAATATTGACTTATGGTATCTATACAATAATCGTTCATGACATACATATCCTTAGCCATAGACTTAATATTAATTAGACTACTTTAGTTTTGGATAATTAAATAATGGCTTTAACACATGTACTATTATATTTGTAACAAAAAATTCTAATAATCTCCCACGAGTCACATATGCAACTTTTCACACGTGTTAAACTTTATGAGTTCAAAATGTCCATTATATACTTCATGCATGTCCAAATAATCTTTCCCATAACTAAACCCATAAATGAGTACTAATAATGACATAAATTCATCATTAAATGTCTAACATGAAAATCACAAGAATGTGGCTTGAACATGTCAATTTTCAATTGGTCCTACTTTACTTTACTGAGATCATTCAATAGCCTTATTGTACAAAATATAAATAGTTGAATATCAAATTTTATAGACCAGATAAAATATTTAAAATCAGAGTATGCATACATAATACCACACATAGAACACAAAATTCATAAATGACTAACTCTCACTAAACAAAAGATTTCTCAAACCGTAAAATACCCATTTGAGCACTGTGCTCATGAAAGATCTTGGATGGAATACTTTTTGTAAGAGGATATTCTATCATGGAGTTTGTCCCTAAGCGTTATATAGAAATATGTTTACTTTGTAGCCTTTACTTAACAACTAGGAACTTGATGTTAATATGTTTTGACTTGGTCGAACTTCTATTATTGTTGGAATATAGGACGACTAATTTATCGTCACAGTATAACTTAAGTGAGCTTTCAATTCCTTCTATAATTCACAATCTAATTAATGGTTCCTCAAATAAATCACATGGTTATATGCCTTAAAACATGTATAAACTCTGCTGTCATGGTGAATGAAGAAATAAGAGTTTGTTTGGAACAACACTGTCGCAGTGAGAATCAGATATCAAGCTATTGATTAACTTGAATCACAAATCTTAGTTCACCACTGAGTTTTGATTTATCCAATGGAAAGGGTAAATATCATAAACCCTAATTGCACTGTAAAATAATGCAGGAGATCTAAGGTTCGCGGGTTGGTTATACCTAGAAAAGGTGTTAGCATCCTAAGTATTTGTAGTGCTCTACATGAACCTCTTGTTTTATTGTGTTATTTGTCATTTTGTCTGCTAAAGGGTGAAAAGGTAAAGGGGAGACCTAAGGTGTTATTTCTAAGTATGTTCGCCAAGACATCGCATCTCGTACCTACGTATCCTGATGGAAATGGAATCAGAGTATTCGTAGTTCCCCTAACTAGGATTGAGGAACTCTTGATTATGGTCAAGGTTCCAGGGGAAGTAAGTGTTCATAATGAGATACTTATATGGAGTACGGTGACTCCAAACCTAAGGTTAAGTTGAAAGGGAGGTAAGTGTCCATGGTAGGAGCTTACATGGAGTGTGGCGACTCCGATTCTAAGGCTAGGATAAGGGTGTAAAAGAGTGTCCATGACATGACAATCACACAGAGTATGATGACTCTAATCTAAGGCTAGGATAAAAGGGAAGAAAAGAGTAAGTGTTCATGGCAGGAACTTACATGGAGTGCAGCGAGTCCGATCCTAATGCTAGGATGAAAGGGTATGAACCTAGAATTTTCTGATATTGACATGACAGTCAATAAGTGCGATTCTTTTCTTTGGAAATGAGATGGTATTTTTTATGATTTAGGAAAGATTAGAAATACTATTAATGTGATTTTCCTATTCTTGAGAAAAGACTTTAGTCTTAAAAAGGAAAAATTATCATGATTGAGGGGGAACTATCCTAACATTACTGTACAAGATATTATTCAACCTAATGTCTATTTGAGTAATTCTTGACAAAAATGAAATAAGAATATCCATAAAGAACATAACAATTAGAATCGTTAAGGATCTACAATACGACTTCACAAGCTCATCGACAAAAGAAAAATCAAAGTCATCATCAAAATTGATTAGAAACATTAATTAAAGTTAATCAGAAATGTAATTAATCAATTAGAATCTTTAGAAATCCATTTAATTAAAAACTAATTAATCTAAAATTAACATTATTATCTAAAATAATAAATTCAAATGAAAATCAAATAAATAAAATATAAATATTTTTTTAAAACAAACATGGGCCTAGGGCCAATCCTCCATAAAAAAAAAACACAACAAAAAGTAAATGAGAAAACCAAAGTTGGACCGGTGCCCTCATAGCCCACCCGACCCAACACAATAACAAGTAAAGAAAAAAATAAAACTCGGGAATTCCACTCCATCCCTTCTCTCTTCTCGTGTGGTGACCATCTCTCTCTGTTCATTATCTTGTAATGAACTAGAAGAAAATAGTGACTCAACAGTCTCACACTTCTCTCTCGCATTGTCGTCGTTCAACCTTTCTTCTCAAATCTCATCATGTGACCATTCTGTTTCCCCTTTCCATTCTCCTTCTTCTAACATCACCTTTCCGGAAAAGGAGACTTCGCCGCGCCATGGCTACGAGCCGGAGGCGGCGGAGGGAACTTCATGACGACTCCCCTCTCTAATTTATTATTAAAATCGCAATGTTAGATTGAAATACTACAAGCCTAAATATTTCATCAAGACGTACCTTCGAAGAAATTTTGACATTGCAATTTCATAAATGATTTCCTGGTACGATTCTGTCCTTCTTCAATACATATCTGTATTGTTTCATTTTGTTGCTTTGTGTGTGTAGATCTGTTGAGTGTCTGCTCTTGTAATGTGTGTGAGGATGTGATGATTTCTTCTCTACAATCCGTATCCCCCCACGTGTGTATTGCGATGCTATACATGTTGCTGATATTCTGCAATGCCTTTGAATTGGTATTTCATGTGTTTGAATTTTGATGATTGTTTTTGTGATACTGTGTGAGATTTTTTACTGTAATGCGAATGTCTTGTGAGGTTTTTGTGAATGAATTTTCTCGGTGTGAAAGATGTGTCGACCTCTTCTTAACTTCCCTTCGATTGTGGTGTATGTGAATTTGAATTTTGATGTTGTTTGTAATGATTCCCATCCCTCTTGATTTTTTTGGCTCCCTGTTCTGGTGTATTTTGTGTTGTCTCTTGTTCTCAAATTTTCTCCTCCTTATATGGCCTTTGTGAAAATCAAAACACGACTAATGTTCCAAATTATGTTGTCCAATCCAATTTTGGAAAGAAACAAACTTGTCTTAAGCATGTTCAAAACGGTTTTGGAAATAAACATAAGTTGTGTTTTCTTGTCTTGCATATGATTGTACTTTCTACATCACACATATGGTTACTGTTTTGCTTGCCTGATGTCACTTGACATTCCTTTTGCAGCTTAGAGTGATGGTACTGCTTGGAAATATTACGACATGGTTGGAATAGTGTGAAGCACGACTTGGATTACGTGAGAGAGTTTGCTACTTGGAGTAACACGTTAGAAGCTAGCAGCATAACTTGGTTAGAGCTTGCTTGGAAAGTATCTTGAGTGTAACGTCCATTTTAATTATCTCTTTTTTCTGTGTATTTGATTTGTGGTGTGCCTTCTGTGTTAGGGGTGTGGTTGAGTGCGATAGCGTGTAGCCCTCGAGTTGGAGATT